AGATACAGAAATGTTAGGATGAGGATATAATCGTCTAAAGATAAAAAATGTGAAGACTCAATGTCTTGAGACATTGTTGTACAGATTTGTACAGAAAATTAACTTCACACAAAAATATAAAATTAATTAACTTTATAAGAAATGTCTCAATGTCTCGAATGTCTCAAAATCTCAATATCTTGAAACATTGTTGTGCAGATTTATGCAGAAATGGCATTTCAATGCCTTGAGACATTGTTGTGCAGATTTGTACAGAAAATTAGCTTCATACAGAAATATAAGGTTAATTAGCTTCATAAGAAATGTACTCCCATATTATGTATAAAAGTAGAACATGAAATAGTTCATTACGATCGTCATGAAAACTTGACCCACCACATTGAGTCTACTACAAATCCAATCAAGAGAACTTTTGAGGTCTCCGATCGCAAAGTACGCAAGCCGTAAACACACTCTCTTATCCGGTACATCTTGGACCCTTACGTAAGGACGCTTAATGGCCGAGAATTGCATAAGGTGTAGAAGGTTGAGTGTCACGGTCATCGTCGTCGATAGCCGCCATATACCTGCTGACACACATGTGAAAGCCGAGACACGTTTTCGAGGGCTGCTCGACAATCTGCCCCTTCCCTTTCCTCAAATAACGAACCACACCTGGATATATACACACCATTTATCTTCAAGTATCTCCTTAACCCAGTTCCAACCCTTTGAGAGGTAGACCAAATATGTCTAGGGTTCTGCGTAATACCTGAGGATATATTGGAGGAGCCTGAGGGGAATCTAAGAGGAACAACTATTGGAATAATCATGAAGTGTAGGTTTATAAGATTGTGGGGTATAAAACATCGTATAATATGAGAACTTGTAACCTGGGGGGACAAACAATCTGGTGGTTGTAGAACTTAAATGGTCGGAAACGTAGATATTATAGAAGACAGTTGATCAAAGAAGCTAGATACTTGTACAACCTAGGTGCTCAAGTAATTTAGGAGGACTTAAATGAACAGAAACGTAGATGATCAAAGAAGACAGTTGATCAAAGAAGTTAGATAAATGAACAATCTAGATGCTCAAGTAATTTAGGAGGACTTAAATGGTCAGATACGTAGGTGATCATAGAACTCAGTTGATCAAAGTACCTAGATACTTGTAGAACTTAGGTGGTCAAGCAATCTAGAGGCTCATATAATCTAAATGATGAGAAACATAGTTGATCATAGAACCTACTTGATGAAACTAACTAGGCACTCATCAAATCTAGTTGACTAAAGAACCTAGATACTGGTAGAACCTAGGTGGTCAAGTAATCTAGAGGCTCATAGAACATAAATGATAAAAAACCTAGGTAATCATAGAACCTAGTTGATCATACTACCTAGGTGTTCATTAAATCTAGATGACCAAAGAACCTAGATACTGGTAGAACCTAGGTGGTCAAGTAATCTAGAGGCTCATAGAACCTAAATGATCAGAAACCTAGATGATCATAGAACCCTCTTGACCAAACTACCTAAGTGCTCATTGACTCTAGTTGATCAAAGAACCTAGCTATATTCCTGTTATATTCTGAAGAACCTAATAAGTGGAACCTAAATGATCAGAATCCTAGATGATCATAGAACCCTTTTGATCAAGCTACCTAAGTGCTGATTAACTCTAGTTGATCAAAGAACCTAGCTATATCCCTGCTATATTCTGAAGCTACCTACTAGGTGGAACCCAAACGATCAGAAACCTAGCTGATCACAGAACTCCCTTAACCAAACTACCTAAGTGCCCATTAACTCTAGACACTCATTAAACCTAATTAACCAAAGAACCTAGCTACAGTCCCTATATTCCCTATATTCTAAAGAACCCGATAGAACCTAATCTAGAAAGAGCCAAAGCCTGAACCAAAGACATTGTCCGTTTATTCTACCATCGTTTTGAGGTCTAGGTCAGATGCAGTCGTGAAAAGAACGGTTGTACAGCGTCAGTGAAATTGTATCATGAAGAGAGGGATTAAATCGATCCTCGAGCAGAAGGTTGCTCACCACTGCCGAGGCCGGTGTGCACGTGCTCTTCTCGTACCCCTCGTCCCTCTAGCTGTCGTGTTCACTGATTTCCGATCCTCGTGTCGAGGACGAAGAATGCCTCTGGCTGCCAGCTGCTCGTGATCCTCCTCCTCCTTGATCTCCCAGTCTATCCTTGCGATCAGACTATCATGATCCTTCCTACCGTCCGCATCCAAAGCTTCCAACTACCTTGGAACTTCCCTCCAAATTTAGTTGTCCAACTTTCGTGGTGTTTGACTACTTTGTCTTAGACTTTGTCTACTTTGTCTTGAAGAAGTTTTGGAGTCTTCTGGTGAAGTCCTTCTGACAATCTTGAAGGGTTCTCAAGATTTGTAATTGAGTTTGTGGTGAAATTTAATACTTTATCCAAGACTTGCTTGGGACTTTTGAAGTCTTTGATGTTCATGGTGAAATAAAGTCCTTTTTACAATCTCGACAATCTTGAAGGGTTCTCAAGATTAGTAACTGAGTTTGTGATGAAATTTAATACTTTATCCTAGACTTGCTTGGGACTTTTGAAGTTTTTGGTGTTCACGGTGAAATAAAGTCCTTTTTACAATCTTGACAATCTTGAAGGGTTCTCAAGATTAGTAACTGAGTTTGTGGTGAAATATTTTAATCCAGGTCCTTGCTTAGAACCCTTTGGTGTTCATGGTGAAATAAAAATCCTTCATCCAACCTGACAATCTTAAAGATCTCTCAAGTTCAGTAACTGAGTTTGTGAAGCATCTAAATACTTAAGTTTGTGAATTTTCTAAATACTTAAGTTTGTGAAATATCTAAATATCCAAGTCCTCGAGATCTTTGAGTGACTGTGATTATTGAACGTGCAGAATGTGCTGTTAAGAGAAGAAGTTTATACAAAGTCGAAGTGAAATAGTTTGAACGAAACGACAAACATGGTGATCTGCGTCCTTGGCTTTCTCACGGGGTAAGTTGCTCTGCATTTGTAAGGGGGTGAATTTCGATGATTCATCGCATGATTCATAAACGTAAAACGATTCTACGAAATGGTAATTGCTGACAGCTGGCGCAGGGTGCTTACGATGCGTTATCGAGTTTACAATATTTCAGTTCTAATATTCTGGAATTCATTCCACAATTTTGCAGTTAAACAATTTCACACTTTTAATACGCAATGTAGACCTTCCCACCGTTATACAGTTTTATGGTTCGAAGGTTTATAACTCTGTTGTTCCACATTTTTGCAATTCTACGACTATTCTGCAATTCTATCGTTCGCGGTTCAATAGCTGACATTCTACCAACCCAGTTTCACCCCAATATTCTCTAAATACACATTTGACATTTCTAATTAAACAGTTCTGTAATTCCAAGATTCTACGAAAATGTAATTAACAGCAGTGACTAAATAGTTACTCGGCGTATAGAAGCTCGTTTCGGTGGAAACCGTGTGGGCCTATCTGTACGTACGATAAGTGAAATCTCCGGAAATCACGTTTGGCAATCACGTAGCGAGCGGATATTGAATAAACCAGCGACGGTACCCATATATGAATATATACGACGAAAAACAAGATCAGTCGATAAGATTAACTTGCAAATTGCGTGCGAGTTGAACTGCGATACTTTTTCACTCTTGTACCTAAGCAATTGAATTTTACGCGATTTTATAAGTTTTAAAAATAGTGCAAGGTGAAATTCGAGTGAAATTCTTTTGAATTTCAAGTGAAATTTTGACGAGAAACCTTATCGTGTATTCGAATAAGTTACGAATGCAGATATCACAGAATATATTTGTGTGAAACAATTGCAGTGCTGCGAATCTTTGTGGAATAAACGCTGAAGGATAACCACTTTTCATTCCCTTGAAAAAGTGATTAATCGCACCATGAAATTCGAGGGAAATACAAAATATTATTCTACGATATCATTACCGTATTCCTTCAAGGGGTATGTCTGTGTGCGTTCGAGTGTGCAGCTGCTGATACGTTCTTGCACCGAACGTAAGTTAATCAAGGTAGAATGTCATTACGCAATTATATCTTCTACCGTTTCTCCTTTTACCGTTCTTAACGGTATGTAGAATTTTACTCATGCATCCCTTTCGGCTCTGTAATTTCGATGCCCTGAAATTTTCATAATTCGCAGATTCTACTTTTGAAGTATCAGAAGACTGTAGAATTCTTAACTCTCAAGATTAAAAAATTGTAAAATCTCAGGGTTAAAAAATTGCAAAGTCTCAACCTTGAAAAATTGCAAAGTCTCAGGGTTAAAAAATTGCAAAGCCCCAACTTTGAAAAATTGCAAAGTCTCAGGGTGAAAAAATTGCAAAGTCTCAACCTTGAAAAATTGCAAAGTCTCAGGGTTAAAAAATTGCAAAGCCCCAACTTTGAAAAATTGCAAAGTCTCAGGGTGAAAAAATTGCAAAGCCCCAACTTTGAAAAATTGCAAAGTCTCAGGGTGAAAAAATTGCAGTCTCAACCTTGAAAAATTGCAGTCTCAGGGTTAAAAAATTGCAAAGCCCCAACTTTGAAAAATTGCAAAGTCTCAGGGTGAAAAAATTGCAAAGTCCCAACTTTGAAAAATTGCAGACTTAAGGTTAAAAAATTGCAAAGTCTCCACATTGAAAACTTGCAAAGTCTCAACAATAAAAAATTGTAAACTCTCACCATTAAAAAATTCTAAACTCTCAAAATTAAAAACTTGCAAACTCTCAACATTACAAAATTCTAAACTCTCCATTAAAAAATTATAAACACAAAATTAAAATATACCAAACTCTCACCATTAAAAAATAGTAAACTCTCACAACAAATAAATTTCAGAGCCTCCAAAAATTTCCACAGTGATTACATAATTCAATCGATGTACCCTCGTCCCGTTCCACATTCCATATGTCGGAACCTCCGCTCCAACTGGGGTATCGAATCCCCTATCTCTCCCAAAATATTCATGAATATCCCGTTTCTGTTGCAGCTTCCCTCAGAAAATGGAGAGGCCATCGCAGCATGCCGCGAACGTGAACCAGGTGCACAGCAGCGGCATGCACGGGGTGTACTCGTCCGGCAGCCAAACATCCCTGACGACGTCGTACATCACGGGCCAGTCATATGTTCAGAATCAGAATTACGCCCACGGTCCGTACAACTCGTCGTCCAATGTGCGGGTGTACGCTCATGCGGGGTACAATCAGCCCCAAAGCTACGGCACCATGGTGCAGGGCTACGGCGGTCAACCTCAGGCAACAGGGTATCAACAAAATCACCTTAAAAAAGGACCTGTACGTAACGGAGACGTGCTGAAGAGATGTCGCCTTCAGACTGCGTAAGACTTCGTTGTTTTAATTCTTGCTTTCACTTGTGAAACATCAAGACTTCGATCAGACTCAAATTTTTCTAAATGCCTTCGAATTTCATTCTTTTCAATATACTCTGACTACGAGGTGACTCTGTGTCCTCACAGTCTGAACTTGATTGCAAAGTAGAGAGCTTCAGAAAGTTTGCGCGTCTTCGTTGCCAGTTTAGTTTCCAAGCTTCGCCTGCTTGACATTGTCCTCCATCTTATGTCTTTCTTTGCAAAACAGGTACGAGCTGTCTCAGGACCTCCTAGACAAGCAGATCGAGATGTTAGAGCGAAAATACGGCGGTGTGAAGGCCAGGAACGCGGCGCTGACCATCCAACGCGCGTTCCGAAGATACACACTGCTGAAGAAGTTCGCGGCGATCACCGCGATGGCAAAGGCGGAGAAGAGGCTCAGCAGGAAGCTGCAGGAGACGGATCGAGCGACGGGCATGAACGAGCACGAGAAGATGGCCTACCACAGTCAGATTTATATCCAGCAGCCTCAGACCGCGAACAGACCCATGCCCATCAGGAGCATGTCCCTCAGAGAGAGGAGGCACGCGGAGAACTCGCAGTCGCCGATACCCAGAAGTCAGAGCGGCAGGTGCGAGGTTCAGGTCACGGGTCATCAGCACGCGAATCATAATATTCATCAGAGCGGCAGACACACGCCCTCCTTGGCGCCCAGTCCTTGCAACAGACATCAGCAGCTTCCTCCCAGTCCGTGCTGGGAGTCCAGCTCCCAGGAAAGCGGCTCTAGCATCCATTATTACAACCCACAGGTGATCTAGAGTTCCTTTAATAGGGTCAGTGATCTTGCAGAAGATGTTCGACCTTTTGTGTGAATGCTTGAATCTTTGATCTCCGAAAAACGAAAGCCCTTTAATTCCATTTGAAACGATCGTTTTAGGAAGCCCTTTGTGGCATCAGACAAGAGACACCTCCGCGGGACTTGCTTCGAACGCCGTGCACGTCGCCGTCGACGCCTCACAATCTCCAAACACCGATCCCTCAAAACTGGAGCAATACCAGTCATCTGGGCTCCGCCGGGCGAACGAGAGGATCCGCGAAAAAGGTCCCGCCGGAAGTGCCAAAAAGAACGTCTTCCATTACGTCCAGGTCCATGGAACCGCGTCACAATGGTTTGAGCAAGAGCGTCGAGAACGGTAGCCTGAGCTCGGTCCAGAGCTCTGGCAGCGATTCCACTAATTGCGAGAGCTCAGAGGGAGACGCTCAAAGAGGATCACCTGTGTGGAAGCATAAAGGAATCGTAAGTTCTGCCCGTTTTCCTTTGTGTCCCCTTTGCCTTTTGTCTTCATCGGCTTTCACACTTTAGGCTAGACTACATTCAACCTTGATGTCTGTTTTTTTGTTACTCGACTTCAAAGTAACTGTACCTTGCTGTTATTTGCGCAGCAAGAATTTCCATTGGCGTAAAGCGTCCGCGAAAATGTATCTGTGCATCACTGACCCTTTTAAACTGAAACTATATAAAATTTCAATTAAAATGTACTAAAGTAATTACGTGTTTTGCAGTCAAGCTCGCCGGAACATCAGGAATGCGCGAATCACGCGACAGACTCAGCCACCATGATGAACAGCGTAAAAGATATGGGTCATTCACACGCCAGCTCCGGTTACCAGCTTCCATTGATGGACCATCAAGAGAGTATACCACAAACGAGCTACAAAGTATCGGAGACCGTCAGAAAACGTCAATACAGAGTAGGCCTAAATCTGTTCAACAAGAAGCCCGAACGGGGAATCAGTTATCTGATCAGACGAGGATTCTTGGAGAACAGTCCGCAGGGTGTAGCCAGATTCTTGATCAGCAGAAAAGGATTGTCCAAGCAGATGATAGGAGAGTACCTTGGGAACTTGCAGAACCCCTTCAACATGGCTGTGCTTGAGTAAGTCTGATCGCTTGGAAAGGGAATTGAATAGTTAAAGGACGCAATGGTGCATTCGGTGAAAGTTTGATCGTTTATCACTGTGATCGGTGATCGACGTAGCGGAAACTAGTAGCTTCGTTCGCTATTATTTATTATAGAAAGTCGTTTTCACTTGTCGTTATCTTTTTCACAATGCGATTGTTTCGATCGAGTAGCTGTTTGGCATTGATACCGATTTCACAGTGAAAAAAGATCTATAAAAACATTTAGGTCAAGATTGTTATGGTCAAATGTAAAAGAGAAAAATACCTTGCGGTTATAGAGATCTATTCTGTAAAGTCTATAATGAGCAAATATTACGGAGTATGTCATCCATTCCAGATGCTTCTCCCACGAGCTGGATCTGTCTGGAATGCAAGTGGACGTAGCCCTAAGGAAATTCCAAGCATACTTCCGGATGCCTGGCGAAGCCCAGAAGATAGAACGACTGATGGAGATCTTCAGTCAACGTTATTGCCAATGCAATCCAGACGTGGTGTCCAGGCTACGTTCAGCAGACACCGTCTTCGTCTTGGCGTTTGCTATAATCATGCTGAACACAGATTTACATACTCCAAACCTGAAGCCGGAACGCAGGATGAGGTTGGAAGACTTCATCAAGAATCTCAGAGGCATAGACGACTGCGGGGATATTGACAGAGACATATTAATGGGCATCTACGAGAGAGTGAAGGAGAACGAATTTAAGCCTGGATCTGATCACGTTTCCCAAGTGATGAAGGTTCAAGCGACGATAGTGGGCAAGAAGCCTAACATGGCGTTGCCGCACAGAAGATTAGTCTGCTATTGCAGGCTGTACGAGATCCCAGATATACACAAAAAGGAGAGACCAGGTGTTCATCAACGAGAAGTGTTCCTCTTTAATGATCTTCTCGTTGTGACCAAGATCTTGAGCAAGAAGAAGAACAGTGTCACCTATACCTTCAGACAGAGCTTCCCACTTTGCGGAATGGTCGTCACCCTGTTTGAAGTTCCACGTAAGTTGTTAATAGTAATCTAATATACTTTATGCTTCTGCAAACTCGTGTTTAATATAAATTTTACCTCCATCCAGATTATCCGTACGGAATTAGACTCTCCCAACGCGTGGATGGAAAGGTTTTGGTCACATTCAACGCGAGGAACGCGCACGACAGGTGCAAGTTCGTGGAGGATCTCAGGGAATCTATCAGCGAAATGGACGAAATGGAGACCTTACGGATTGAGACAGAATTAGAACGACAGAAGAGCAGTAGAAGCGCCAGAGGAGGCGCAGAGAACCGGGATTCTGGAGTAGCGGATGTGGAGATATGTCCTTGCCCAGGTCCCTGCTCGGAGAGGTCAGAAACCACCGACACGGACACGCAATTGAAACGCTCTGCTCTTAGTAACTCGCTCCTGGATATACATGAGCAGTGTAAGTAGAATTACTTGACGGTATATAGCAAACCTTTTCATGAGTCCTTCGAGGACAGAGAAATAAATCTTCAAAGAAACTGCAAGCATATTACAATAGAAATAAAAGATGATAGTTTTAAGTTTGCGATAAACAATTGAGCATCCTCTAACACCAAACCAACCTACATGCAGAAGATCTGTCTTTGGCTTCCAGAGCCGCTCTTGGAAAGGTCTGCTTTATAGAGTCTATTTCTATCTTAAATATATATAAACTTAACATTTAACTTTGGTATCCTATTATACAGTTGCCGGTGAGAAACCACAACGACGTGGAAGCGTGGGCTCCCTAGATAGCGGTATGTCGATTTCTTTTCAATCTACATCTGCCAGCTCAATGAGCCAAGGCATTAAACATCCTGGACATCCTATACATCCAGGGGCTACGATCCCTGGTGGTGCTAAGGGACTGGCTCAGCAGCCATCTTTTTTAGGGGGTCTCTTCGCCAAACGGGAACGAAAGCTTTCGCAATCGGAGGAATCAGGCCCCTACAGTCGCACCACGGAAGTATAATATATCCTTCCGGTGCTATTTAACTGATAACAGACCAAATCGGATTCCTACAAGGGGACGAGCACTGATTAATTATCTATCGAACGCGTAACTCAGAACTTCTTGAAAAGTGTATACCATTGGCGTAGCTAAAGGCGGACCTGGCCTTCCATAGGTCCTCTTTCCAATCCCTAAATTCCCAAATTTAAAAATTGATCATAGTGGATATAAAGCGTTAATAATAGAGAACCCAAAGATCTCATTAACCCCGAGAATAGTCACGCCACTGACCTGTACTTGTACCATTCTTTATTTCAGACTTTGGTGTTATGGTATGAAAAAATTGATAGTAGTAGTTTGAAAAGTAGTAGTAAAATTTGAAGCCAATGGTTCGTGCAGTCCCTTTGTTGGATAAGACTCCTCTTGCTTTCCTCGACTTCTGAGAAAGCGAAGCACATTTAACATTGCACACGAACAGAAAGTACAACGCAGTTTGAAACTGGAAGGAAGAGCGAAAGTTACCCTAGGTTAAAAATGAAACATAGAAAGAAGTGCTTCGAGAAATGAGCGAAGAAAGTTGGAAGGTAACAAGATGTAAATTTATGAGATTGGGCAGGATCCAATCGCTATCAGTCCAAGAAGAGGATTTGGCAAGACCCTGCTGGCACATGTATAATATTTATTCATCCAAAAAAGAAGTCGGATACGTTTTCTTTCGTATGGTATTTATATATTATAATTTCTAATGGTGGGTCAAACTCGCGCCGATCTGCGTTGTGTATGTAGATAATAATCGTTTTGTTCGCCGCTAAGAATGAACCGGTTTTTAAGCAGGTTATGTTAAGAAAGGATATTCTTAACGTAACGTGAGACAAAAAAATGGATAAAGCGGTTCATGGAGAGTGGCTCTCGAGTAATGTCGTGTTTTTTGCAAGTGTCGTCGACGTAGTTATACTTGAACGATTGTACATAATAGGTATATAACGATAATTGTATGATTACAATAACTCTGTAACAAAACGTAGCCTAAGGAAACGATAAGCAATCCCTTTCAATGTTAGGTGCATGTTGATGTCTAACAAACTTTTTAGTATCACAGCAATGGAAATTTGAATGTAGCAGTCTTGTAAGTATTAACATTTCGAAGGAAAGAGGAAAAGAAAGAAATGTTTTTTTCATTGTTGCGGTACATTTGTAATCATCTGCAAGTTCTGGTAGTTCTGCTTGTGTGTTTGAAGTTGAACAGTTTCTTCATTTCCTGTTTCCAAAACAGCGTATTAAACGAAAAGTGATAGGAATTAGTTGGTTTCTCGTCTCGTAGCATGTAGACAACTTTCAAGATCACTTTAATAATGTTATAAGGATGAACGCGGGTGAACCGTAAGACAACTTGTATGCCTTATATACTGCCACAATTTTATCATTCGGGGATGAGAAACTAATTAATCACTTTGCGAATTAGATAGTAGAGAATTTTCAAACGCTGCGGAATTACATCGGAAAATTTGGATATCTTGTATATATCAGAGTTACCCTAGGTTAAAAATGAAACATAGAAAGAAGTGCTTCGAGAAATGAGCGAAGAAAGTTGGAAGGTAACAAGATGTAAATTTATGAGATTGGGCAGGATCCAATCGCTATCAGTCCAAGAAGAGGATTTGGCAAGACCCTGCTGGCACATGTATAATATTTATTCATCCAAAAAAGAAGTCGGATACGTTTTCTTTCGTATGGTATTTATATATTATAATTTCTAATGGTGGGTCAAACTCGCGCCGATCTGCGTTGTGTATGTAGATAATAATCGTTTTGTTCGCCGCTAAGAATGAACCGGTTTTTAAGCAGGTTATGTTAAGAAAGGATATTCTTAACGTAACGTGAGACAAAAAAATGGATAAAGCGGTTCATGGAGAGTGGCTCTCGAGTAATGTCGTGTTTTTTGCAAGTGTCGTCGACGTAGTTATACTTGAACGATTGTACATAATAGGTATATAACGATAATTGTATGATTACAATAACTCTGTAACAAAACGTAGCCTAAGGAAACGATAAGCAATCCCTTTCAATGTTAGGTGCATGTTGATGTCTAACAAACTTTTTAGTATCACAGCAATGGAAATTTGAATGTAGCAGTCTTGTAAGTATTAACATTTCGAAGGAAAGAGGAAAAGAAAGAAATGTTTTTTTCATTGTTGCGGTACATTTGTAATCATCTGCAAGTTCTGGTAGTTCTGCTTGTGTGTTTGAAGTTGAACAGTTTCTTCATTTCCTGTTTCCAAAACAGCGTATTAAACGAAAAGTGATAGGAATTAGTTGGTTTCTCGTCTCGTAGCATGTAGACAACTTTCAAGATCACTTTAATAATGTTATAAGGATGAACGCGGGTGAACCGTAAGACAACTTGTATGCCTTATATACTGCCACAATTTTATCATTCGGGGATGAGAAACTAATTAATCACTTTGCGAATTAGATAGTAGAGAATTTTCAAACGCTGCGGAATTACATCGGAAAATTTGGATATCTTGTATATATCAGCGGTCGCAATACGAAGTAATAGTAATAAAAATATATATATATATATATATACATATATATATATTCATTAATTTCAATTCAAAGTGACTAATCAACGGAGTTTCATACACTGTACATTACAATTCATTTCGGACCTTGGGAGTTTCTTTGTACCCTCATAACGTTTTATATAAACAAATTTATTTTCATAGTTCTTGAAATTCACTTTTTTGCACTGCTGTCGAGCACTCTAACATCTGTTTCCAAATTGTATTCTCTTAACCAATTATTTAACCCTTCGGCTGCTGTGAACAACTGCTTATTTAACAGAAGTCTTCAAAGAATACTCATTCTTAAAATAAATAGAATAGGGCAGCTAAGAATTTATACATTTTATCTTCCACGTTAACTCTTGGCTATTCGTTGTCCTATAAATGAAAAGTCACTGTGCGTAGAGTTCAATTGTTATAAAATTGTAAAAATATTTGATTGTATTCTTGAGGACAAATCTTGCAAGGACTACACATGTCTTTGGCAGCTGAGGGATAACTTGAATAACTGTTGGCAAAGTGTTTGCCATGGACGTACATATGCTCCCATTGATCCGTAACAATCTGTAGTCTTCAGCGTTATTAATTCTAGTCTTTCTCATCAGGAGAATTCTCCAGTATGCTGTAATATCGCGAAAGAAACAATTCCATAAAACGTCAGGACAAACCTTGATGTAGCTCGTAAGGATGTGGATACAATAAAGAATGTGAGATCAACCATAACTTAGGATCGCGTCAATTTGTGTGACGAATAAGTGAATTGCTCGTTCGGATTACCGGAATATATGTCAACTTATGGAAATGCTTCTGTGATAATCTTCTTACGAATGAAAAATAAGAAAAGACTGATTAAGAAGACCATGTTCTAAGTCGCCTGTTTACAGAGAAGTTCACGAGAAAGTAAAATCCATGTTCGTAGACACTCTCGCGACTCGTCCTTCCCTTCTGATTCCTATATCGTACATTCTATGAAGATTTTTATAAAAGTCGATCGGTTTCCAATTTTTGGACGAGGACGATAAGAAACACCAAACCCTTTTTAATCAAACACTCATGAATCCACGTTTTCCAAAATTGAACACACTTTTCTTACCCTTTAAATAAATTCAATCCTTAGAATTCCTTGCACTCTTATATATAATAAATAAAATTTTCATTGGATATTGCAAGAATATAAAATACATTTTATCAGTACAAAAATAGAGATGTAAATTCGACAATTATTCGAAAATAACGAGAAGAAGAACAGAAAAACTGATTGTACGACATCGAAGCAATACAACGTTGTGAAACATAATTACATACAGTTCGATTTGACGCGATCTTCGAAAATGAATTGCGACACGCGTACCAATCGTGTCGATAAAACTTGGCGCATTCGATAAAAATTTGATGAGAAAGTAAATCACTACGTTATTATTAAGAGATAACAATCGCTCCCCTTTGTTAATCTAACGAAAGCTGTATGCACATTGTGTTAATAAAGAACTATGAGTCTGAAACGAGTAAACTAATCAGTCTCTTTTAACTCTTAACATGTTACTAAAGGGAACATTGTTTTATATTAAGAACAATGGTTTTTATTTCACTTAGTTATTAACATTTAACTCAGCCCTAATTCCTATTCAAACACTAAACAATTAATGACCTTTTTAAGAACATTTATTTCTGAATAGAGCTTTAGTGAAATATATACAATAAATGTAAATAGCACACTATACAGTGTACAAAGGATTACATATAATTAAGTATGAAGATACATTCATACCCAGTTTCTTAATACATAATTCAAGCAACGTATGCTTGTGTAGAGAAAAAAATATCGGAATTTGTTCTAAAATAATAAGAACATTTAATCAAAGTTAATGTTTCCTTCGTTTGTCACGATCGTCTCTTCGCTGTTCATCCTTGCGTTTTGTGGTAGTGGTAGTCGAACTGCTGGCACGCTTAGCTTGTTTCAAGAACTGATCCAAACCGAAAGGATCCTCTTCATCTTTCTCGAACTGTACTGGTCCAGAACGTGTGGTTGATCTGTCAGTTCCACTAAATTCTTTGTCCGGAACAAATCTAATAGAACAGAAAACATCACTGAACTAATTTTGGGAAATCATAGAATATGAAACTGTTATACAATTAAAATAAATTGCAAGTTAAAAATTCAAAAAAAAAATTATACAGACCTATTTGTTTTAACAAGTTTCTCCAAATCGTCTCCGTAAGTGTCTTTATCGATATTTTTGCTAGGACGGTATATGTGAGAGCCAATGGAGTTGGAATCTTTCCATGGTTTGTCGTAAACGTTGTATTCGTCGTCGTGACCATAACCACTATCCATTCCTTTGCTGGTATTAAACAGACGCTGATCAAACTGTGCTTCTCCGGTGTTCGCAATACTTTTCGCTGGCAAACCAAGCGCTATTTGTTCACTAATGTCTCTTTCACGTTCGCGTTGTAATCTGGAACGTTTGTCGGGTGCAGCACGTGCCAAATTGCGTTCGCGAGCACGATCCTTGTGTCTTTCTTGTCTGAGTTGATCTCTTTCACGCGAATCCTCTGATTTTTCTATTACAAACATAATATTATTAAAACACATCTTAATAAATATGTATGCAATTTCTGTACGAACCTAATGCAGCAGACTTCAAACCAGCACGCTCCTCCCTGGCTTTCTGTGCAAGTTGTCTTAAATGGTCTTCCTTCTTTTCTTTTTCTTTTTGTGCTAATTTCTTTTCAAGCTGTGCTCGCATCTCTACCGCCTCACGAGCTTTTCTGTCGGCTATGTAAAGAGCTTCGGCTAATTTGGCGAAATTTTCGTTAATGTGAACTTGTTGCAATCCTCGGCCATCTGCGGCTAAACGTTTGTCGAGAGGAATCGTGTATCCCTAAAAACATTGTTCCCTCAGAATTTTATTCGTTTATGATTAGATTAAACAATACACATACCTTTGCATTTTTCCAGTTACTGATACATGGTGGTATTTTCCATTCTTTCTGTTCTTTGACCGTGACCTTTCTGGTAGGTGAATGCATAACCGGTGCTGGAGGTGAAGGAGGTCCTCTCGGTATTTTCTTATTAATTCTAAAATTAGAAATTACTATATTATTCACAGTGCAGTCAATATTTGTTAGAATACAGCTTGCTTTATTTTCTTTTAATAAATATCTTTCATCTTTATGAAACTTACTTGAATTTTGGTGGTTCTAATGGATCTACCTGTGCTTCTACCATTCTAATAACCCTTTGTTTAGCTCCAGAATTGAATGATTGTCCTTGCTGTGAAGGTGTATATCGAATATATTGTGCTGGTGCTTGTTTTTCAGCACATCTGACCGGCATGGCTGCAGCTATTTTTGATCTTGTAATTTTCTCTAAAGCTTTTCTCGTTTTTTCTGTAAGTTCATCAGTTTCTTCGCTTGATGGACGTTGCAAACTAGGATCCTCCTCACTTGTTATCTCTGAAGGTAATAAATCACTCAGTTTGCTATAAACAATCTGCAACACAACAAAACAAAAATATTCTGTGTAATAGATATTAATATTTATATTTATTAAAGTTTGTCAAATTACCTTATCCTTGGAGTGGCCTTGTCTAGCAATTACATCATATTTTACTTTTCCTTGAGCATCAAGTTGAACTGCCACAGCATTACTGGTAGACTCCTTTCCCTTCATTCCCATACCCAGTGGATATTGGGCCACATGGATTTCTGGAAATGCTCCACCATCTCCAAAATCCTAAATGCAATAATAAAATGAGATGATTGCGTGTATACTGGGTCAACTTCAAACTTTGTTTATTGAAATTTATTTACCTCTGGATTCCTGGGTACCCATCCTTTACGCTGTCCATATGGTGGTGCAGTAACAACAGCTTTAACCAATGCTGACACAGGTCTTTGCCGTAATTTCTGTTCTCGTGCCTCATCTTCTCTGTCCCACACCACTTGTGATGGTGCAGGCAACAAGCTATACAAACAGTTACATAAATATTAGCTTAAAGCAATGTAGGAGAAACATGGAACAATTATTAAAGTAAATAATATATTTGTAAGTAAATTAACAGCCTAAATATTAGGATTAATGTATTGTTAAATTTTTGGTTTTGGTTAACAAGTACGCGTCAACTTTACGATATCAAATATAACGTATCCCATAAGGAAAAATAATGTTACATTATTGCTGTCGAAAGTAGAAACAACATTTTATAACATGAAAATGTAAAAACTCACAATTCTCTATACAACAAAAAGATAAATAACAAATAATTCTTATAAACACTAACCTTGTTAACGACATTTTGTTAATCTTCAAGCAGTGGTACCAATGATAGACATGCGTCAAAGATACATAAATCCCTAGTAAAGTTTGTAACTAGTCTCTTTGATTGAAGCGTTCCGCGCCTAACCTAACAATGTGAGTGAGCGAATAAATTTCACGCTAAAGTAAAAATAGTCAACTGTGTACATCGTACGCATGAGCTAATTTCAAATAATTAATAACACATTTTCTAAACACAATTTATGCACTTTCATTATTAAAGAATGTTCAGTGATCCCTCAGCTACTTTCTCGTATCATATTTGTTCAGATTTTTAATGAAATTAATTAGATATTAACTAATAACCTAAGGCCAGTCACGGTGACAAGCAGTATATACGAGGTCATTTTGAATAATTAATTACATGTTTTGTGGATATATTTTGTGCACTTTTATGATTGAAGAGTGGTTAACAATGCATTATTTACATGGTTCAATCATAAAAGTTCATAAATAATGTTCGGGTAATGAGTAATTAATTATTTTGTGTCAGCGTTCCGATACGTACATGAGCTGCCTATGGCAATTCTATTGCGCAAATAAAGTGCAATATTTTGGCACTTTGACGACGCAGTATGGTTCCTGAGGCATTTAGAAACAAATTTCTATTAGGGTTTAATGCGTTTTGATGCCTAATAAAGCCAGAAAATGAATTTTTGTCGAAATCGGTCCAAAACGGTACAGGTGGCGCCATCTAGCGGCGAGCGGCGGAACTA